GACTAATTAAGGTCTTATTTTTGGATTGATGAATTCAATGACTTTTAAGACTTTTTAGGGATCTGCGGGAACACTGATAACAAAAACTGTTTTCAATAAATGTAACAAGAATTGAGTTTTTCAAAACAAAAGTAAAGAAAGGTGAAGAAGTGGAAGACTTACCATAGACAGATATGACTGCTAATATTAGCCAGGCGGTCCACTCTGGGAGGTACTTGATGAAAACAAGAGCCATCAGGGCACTGATCATGATGAGGTAGGCCTGTTGAAGCCGCAGAGGGCCCTTCCAGTGGATACACATCATTCCTACCACTCCAAAGTTCCAAATTATTACTGCCAGGGTGAAGTAGTCCATGGCCATATTATAGGTTTTGAAAACCTCTCTAAAGTAAAGCACAGAGACACCATGAGAACACTGTCCACCATCATGACGGCTGGAAAACTGCACATATATTAATCTGTAAAGGACTGAAATGTTACCGTGGATGACTTACTTGAGGTAGATGTAGGAAAAGAAAAAAAGCAAGAGAAGGGAGGAGAGGAAGAGCCAGCCTTGGATCACCTTTCAAAAAAAAAAACGTGTAAAATTTAATCTGTGCAGGTGCTGAAAAGATATCTTTATATTCTGTTTGGGTCATTCTGTTCAGTTTTCTGGGACAGTTCAAGTCATAAACCCCTCTCTCAAAGTACATCAGACCACTCTGGAAGCTGAAGGGGGGCAGAKTGTACCTCTTTGTTTGGATTTAAAGATACAGCCTCAAAGTGAGTTGATCTGAGACATATCTCAGATAACATGTGAAACATTACAGTTCCACTTTCTATTGACCCCAACTGAATGATTTAAATGTGAAAAATAAGGATTTCAAAGCATGATATGTCTCCTTTAACAAGTATAAATGATACCAATAGTCAATTAGGTAATGGCATAAGTTTTTATATAAATCTCAATTAACTCAAATAGCAGAAAAAAATCAGTATTTAAAAAAACTGAACATCATTATTTAGATTTGTTACATAAAGTGATATATTTCAAGTATTTATTTCTGTTAGTGTTGATGATTACAGCTTACAGCTGATGAAAACCCAAAACACTGTTTTATAAGACCAATAAAAAAAACTTTTAATGTAAAAACGTTTGTCTAGTTGTCTTAATCTATCTAGTGAATTTAATACTTGGCTGAGAATCCTCTGCATTAATTGGCAGCCCGGTGGATTTACGGTCCAGGGTTCCTACAGTTTAAGGCAAGTTAAATTTAAGACCTTTTAAGACTTTTTTAATGCCAAGTGCAATTAAATTTAAGACCAATTTCATAATAAACACAAATGGCAGAAACTCATAAACCAAGGTATTTTTTAAGTATTAAAATATTGCTAATAGACCAATTGTTTTTATCCATATCTAACTATAGCAGAAACCTTCTTAGCAGTCAGTTTTAAACTTAATTTCTGGAAATCCTCTAATGACCCAAAACTTGGAGTTTTAGGACCCAAAGTGGGGTCTCAACCCCAATTTGCTGTACATAAAACCTTAAAGTGCCTGTGACGTCATTTTTTTGTAAGAAAGGTGAATGCATTTTTGGAAAGACATTCTTAAAAATATTAGAAAACGAATGTCGTGATGCTCAGATGAACTGTTGTTGAGATATTTGCATGTGAAATAACAGGAAGTGATGTCACGTGAATATTTAAAAAATACTTTTACCAATTATTTTAATATTTGAAATTAATTACAATCATCCTATGTACAATGTGTTAACATTTTTAAGACGTCTGAAAGACTGATTTAAGACATTTTAAGGCTAATTAAGGCCTTATTTTTGGATTGATGAATTCAATGACTTTTAAGACGTTTTTAAGGATCTGCAGGAACCCTGTGGTCAGAACTGATCATTTAATTGGACTAAAACAAATGGCTGAAATATATTAATCTGTAATGAAGCTATATACAATTTTTCCTTTTAAACTGACTTACGGAATGAATGAACTTTCAGTGTTAGTCTAATTTACTGAGCTGTACCTGAAATGAAGCCTTACCTTGTAGCAGCGATACTTGTATAAAAGCACAAGCACCAGAGTCATAACAATGATGACAGTAATCATGATGGTGGCGTTCAGGATAGAGTTGACGGCTCTCTGAGCAACTGTGTCCGTTTCTTCAGGGAATGGTGTGTAGATCCTGGTGGAGGTGACAGAAAGACACAATATTAACACCAGCAGGAAAATGAAATAAATAAATATAAGTTTTTTAATTTTTAGTTACCAAACATGTTCAAAGCTAAAAACTCATCTGCAGTAGTGTTTAGTTCCTTTGGAAAATAGCAAAAAAAAATTAACTGTTGTTTACATTTAAGAAGCAAAAGTACAGCTCTGTCATCAGAAAACAACAGTTGTGTGTTGTTGGACAACTCAGTCATGAAATAAAGCAGATAAACTACACTGACTCCACCTAGTGGACTCTTGTTGTATGGATCATCTACAAAGTGCTGCCATGCCCGGAGCTCTGCAGCCTTTACAACAGTGTTATCCAACATCAAGGTGGGGTCCTGAAAAGATTTCATGAATTAATTACATTTTTGCCTTAGTCGTCACAAAGGAGTGAGGTTAGTATATTTAAAAT